GTCAGAATTCTGACTTTAATCCCAGAATTCTGACTTTTTTCTCAGATTTTTTTTCCAGTGGCCCTAATCCTCTTCAGTACTAAAGAGCCCAGAGCCTGGGTTCTAATAATTTCTTATGTTTTTTTTTTTTTTTTTTTTTACGTTACGTTTTACACTGAATTCTTCATAATTTTGTAATTATAGTGTGTTATGGTTTTATGTAATTTGTTGTTGTAATTTTGTTTGTGTATTGTGAATGCAAAAGTCCAACAAAGAAACAAGGGTTGAAAATTAGAAATAGCTGTAACTCTACATGCAGCACATCAGTTAACTATGTTAAACTGCATTGTTAATTTTTGACATATAAAAAGTGACAGACCACATATTCCAAACCTCTGAAATTAACATCAGCATAGAAACTGTGCTGAGCTTCATGGCATGGGTTTACATGACGGCCTAGTACTTTTATCCATGACTGGTTGTCAGATGCATTACTTTATCACGGTGAATTCATTTACTCAGTCATTTCATTTTCTCAAATAAATCAATAAATATGTTAAAAAGTAATTTTCACATTTTATTATTGATACTATATCCCCACATAAATGAATAAGAAAAGATGAGATAATTTTATCAGCATAATGATGAAAAAAAAAAAAACTTTTTTATGTTGAGTTTTGGCACAGCTGGGTTTAAATGCCATTCTGTTAAATATTTTAGTTTTTAATATATTATTAATCCACATGCTGGTCTTATAAGAGATGCACTGCTGACTGTGCGTGATACATTTCTAAAACTGGGATTTCTCAAAAACACAAAACAGTAAAACTTTATTATGTTTGATGGAAAAAAGAAAAAAAAAGAGAAAACATTTACTTAGCCAGACTCTTTTTAGCAATTCATCCTAAAAAATCAGGCAGCCAGTCGAGAAGGACCTCAGTAAAACCCAACAACCACTTTGACAGATCTAATGAGCTCATTGGCTGTGAGATCATCGTAGAAGGACAACAGTCAGGGCACTATTTCACAAATTTGGGATTTACAGCAGAGTCATCAGAAGAAAATGACTTTAAAAAAGGCACTTCAATGACATACTGACAACATAAGCAGAAACATTCAGAGCTCTGAAAATGAAAGTGTTCCAGTGTGATTCAAAGAACTGTAGAAAGTAATGTCAAAAACAAGTGATTACCCTTGTAACACCACTTCAGTGTACAGTGTGGTAGTGGCCACTCTGCATCTCCAGTGTGCATCAGTGTGCAAAGCTACTCCTTTATACTATGACAGAAATAATTATACAGTTCATGAAGTCAAACGCTAAAGCCATTTCTGGGAGTATTTCTCAGAGGGTGAATGATTAACTCGCTTTATATCTGAGGATTTCAAGTGATTCAGTGTATCAAGAAAGCCATGGCTTTGTGGAGCTTTAATTTCACCCACTTGTACCGTACAATGAAAAAGCATTCTGAAATGATTAAATATTGCACAATTTAGCACTGCCACTTCTTTCCAAAGGAACATACCGACGACAAAGAAGAAGAAAACGAATATATCAGTGAAAAGTTGTACTACTGTTTACCAAATGATAACTAACTGAGAAGCTGTCACAGTAGAAGTACCATTTATTAGAAGCATTTGTAATATCAAAATCAATATTTTCACCACATTTATGTTAAAATAGCCATAACTACACTTCAGATTCTTTCATAATTCACGGATCAACCAGCTAACCAGCTGCTAGCTCAGCCAAAGTGCTTCTTATATATTATTTGGTATAAGAAACCATTTGGACTCAGCAGTTTCCTGACAAATAAGAAACTGATTCGACTACAACTTCACTCATTTCCTTCATGTGATTGTTTTACAGAAACGATCTCAGTAGGATGCACCACCACTGTGCTTTGTCTATTTTTGCATGTTTTGCAACATTTGAAGATTTTTATCATCTGTACTGATCTGGTTAATTTTCTGCACTGCTTTTTATAATTATGTTATTTTACTTTCTGCAGGCTCAGGAAAGATTAGCCTCATGCACAATCTATCTGAAGTGATTTTTATCCACTTTCATTTTTCTGCCTAGTTCTGTCAGTTTTCATAATCAAAGCTGTTGTTAAGTTGCTCAAACATGATGCAAATGGCAGTATTCAATAGCACATTAGCAATGACATTGAGGGTTAAGTAGCCAGATGTGTGCTTTTATCACTAGTTTTAAATCAGCATGGAGCATTGTTGCATTGAAAGAGGAAATTTTGTGCAAAACTCGTTTTGTATGAATATATATATATATATATATATTTTTTTTTTAAACATGTTATGTAGTATTGTAACAGCTTGAATGTTCGTAGAGTTAACATAATGTTCGTTACTTTACATGTCAATAAAAAAGAATGCAACACACCATATAAAACTCAACTCAAAATCAAATGTGCTGCCATTTTAAAATATTAGCTTATTTTAAATTTGATCAAAAGGTTAGAAAAGTACGTGGAGGAACATTATCCAATAAATTAGATCAGTAACCTGATTGCGTATAAAAAGAGAGGCAGAGTTTCTAAGATATAAAGACACTCAGGGGTTTACTAGTCTATAAAAAACTGTCTACAAGTTGTGGAAAATTTTCAAAATAATTTTCAGCCTTATTAATATCGCATCATCTACAGTATAAGGTGTCACTGAACTATTCTTCTTAAATTAGTAAATTTCCTTAGATTAACATTTGGTGTGTGTTCTCAATTCTATTGTAGGTTCAAGGAAACATATAATAGAGGTGTACACTTTAAATCTTGAGATCAATTCTTGCACTGTGTTTTTAACCAAGAGTCTTGTCTTCTGGATTCTGTATTTATTTCTTTGCCTCTCCTCAGGTCATAATTGTGAGTTCTTACCCTGTGAGGCCAGTAATCCCTGCGAGAATGGAGCAGTATGTGTGGAAGAGTTGGATCAGGACCATTTCCCTTTAGGTTTCCGCTGTCACTGTCGCCATGGCTTCACTGGTCCCCGCTGTGAAATCAATGTGGATGAGTGCAGCTCCAGCCCCTGTCTTCATGGCTTCTGCTATGATGGTACGAAACAGCTTACGTCTTCCCAACATTTTCATGACATACACTCATGACGGAAGCAAAGCTGCATGCGTGTATTTAGACATTAAAATGCCATTTATGTGTCTAATTTGATTTTGTTCACTTGGAGTGTGATAGGTAGTTTTCAGTTGCTTCACCATTGTAGATATTGTGGTTAGAATCATTCATCTGAAGAGAGGAGCTGGACATTTTTTACTGGAGTGCACTTGATTAGTTTCTTAATATAATGTGTCAGAGAAGATCAGTCATCGATGTTGCGCTACAATTTGAATAATGGATATTAAATGACTTTGAATGAATGGTTTTGAATGGTTACTCCCGTGCATTTCATCTCTAGCCCAAGTATTTAAAAAATATCTGATCATTAGAAAAGTGCTGAAAAGTAATAAATTCGAAATAATTATCAGTCAATGAATCTTGCTTTGTTTATGTTATACTGTGAATTTGCATGATTTTGTCATAAATTTCGTTTAGTTTTGAAAAAGCATCAAAATATTTGTTTCTTCCACCCTTCCTGGCGTTCTTGAAAACTGCCAGCTCTCCAGTTCAGTTTTGAACTGGCTTATGCTTTTTCTAAAATAGTGATGGCAGTGGATCACTGTCCTCTCAGTGCTACAGTAGCCCTCCACAAGCTGTCTTGGCCAATTTTGAGCGCAGCCAGTTCACCTTAGGTTAGTGAAGGTGGATTCTTGGACCTATTGGCCAGTGCTCAGTCGCAGCCAGCCAGCCAGCCACAAGGGACAGCACTGCATAGCCACAGTGGCAGTGATGAGTAATGCTGCTGCCACCGAGGACTTACAGCATTTAATGAGAGTAATAGCATCTACACGCACCAAGACAGAGTGACAGCATAGATTACGTGGTAAATCTTTGGGATAATGAAGAATCCAGGGACCCTGACTGGGGAAGTAATAAATTCACTCCTGTAAGAACTGCAATTACCTCTGTCACTGGCTGCCTGTACCAGTGTTGTGTTGGAGAAACAGAATGATGCATACTTGGTTAAAATCATTAATAAATAAAGAGAGGAAGGAATGGATTATTAGCCATGGGAAATTCTAACTTCTGATGGAAGAAATTGGCGCATTTGTAGCTTCTGAATTAAGAATAGCACTGAAATTGGTCCTCTCCCTCTGTTGCGCCATCATTCAGCGTGTTGCAAGTATGTTGAGAGTGTTGCAACAAATGACAAGACTTTCAGGCTTTCAGTGAGCAGAAATATGGTGAGACAAGGAAAGCTCCTGGCAAGAAGAGGACTGAATGGCCATCGCAGACAGGTTCATTTAAAGCTGGTTAGAGTGTAAAGCTGTCAGACTAAGGCAGTTTGGACTTTGCCAGCAACAGGTCTTACTGATACAGCCTAAGTCATTTATTTAATGGTCATACCCTTTAAAAATAGAATCACAGTGGCCATTGTGTAGTCATTTATGCTCATAATCAGCACTTACCTGTGTAGAGATGTAGGACCCACAGAGATTTGAGTGAATTAATTTATGATGCAAGGTACTGTAACTATGCTCCGGCTTTTCCTTTAGTTGTAGATGGCTTTTACTGCCTTTGCAGTCCCGGTTATGCTGGGCTCAGATGTGAGAAAGACATTGATGACTGCGTGAACAGTTGGTGCAGCACCAACTCAGTATGTAAGGACCTCCATCTGGTAAGTTGAAACATTTTTCCAAGGCAGTATAATGGAGTGATGTTATAGCCTATGCTTCAGAATTGCCCAGTCCTGTAAATCGCCACAGTTGGTAACTCTCCATAAAATATTGATAGACATGAATCACATTAGTTACTGTATATTACCTTTGATGGCTGCTGTGCATTCGGTGTTTTAAAACATTTCTTTTGCAGTAAATATTAACAAGTGTGCAGTAACTCGAACATTGGCACATTATTAAAAACGAATAAATTACATCGGCATGACTTTGTGCTCCAGAGCAGCTCGCCAGTTATCTGGTTTACAGGTCCAGCATGATTCATATTGTTTTGGGTGTCTGGGGGAAAAATAAGGTAGGGAACTGTTAATATCTTATGTCCCATAGATGGCCATTATTATTTATATCTCATAATAGAAAAATTATGCCAATTACAGTGTCCCACTTATGCCTTGTAGCCAATGTACCATAATAACCAAAGGATTACCAAAGTATCCCTAGAAGGAAAACACTAATTTGTAAGGATAGCGTCTCTGTTTTTAACCAATGTTGTTTTAGATCGTGTGTCCAAAACAACACATATACCTGATAATTAGTAATTATTTAAAAAAGCTTCATCTTTATGTTTAAAGTGTAAGTCATAATAAACATAGAAATATTCAATAGGTTTTTCTTTATTTATATTTTTGATAGCCATTTAATAACTTTACAGTGTCTAAGCACATCTATAGCACGCTATATTCCCCATTAAAGACCTCCACGTCCTGGTTATGCAACACATGGGCAGGCTTGGAAATAAAAAATGCTTATGTCAGAAGTTAAGTTTAACAAAAAAAAGCAGAACTTTTAAAACTTGTGTCTTGAAGGCACAACTCTATTCTTGTACTTATTCAAATGTTTTTAAGCCAATAACATTGATATGTTGCAGCTGCGGAAAGGCCTTGGGAACCGCATGCTGCTCACTAACTGTGCAATGAGTACCAGGAGCCTTTTTCCAACAGCTGCTTTTTTGCTAACAGATTGCAGTAGTAAAACAGATGTGTCATAGATAAAGTCCATATATTTAGCCTTTTTTTCCCCCTCTGGTAACTTATGATGTATGTAGTCGAGTTTTAAAAAAGGCTTACATTAGAGTAGTGATGTTAAGATAGAGGAGAACACTTTGTAATTACAAATTAATTTTTATAAAGTTTCTGTACCAAATTGAATTCTCATGAAATCAGTATTAAGATTTGCAGAGCTAAGTTTTAAGATTATAACATGACTTTCCTTTTTTGTAGCTTATCAGTAATGGTTGTGTTTTATAAAGAAATAAAAGTCATCCATCATTAAAATTTTAAAGTCAGTCAACATATTCTACTAATTATTTTATCTGGCTCTTTTTGATGTAGTTTATAAGGAACTAATGGAAGCCTATTGTGGTGCAAAAGCTGGTTAAAACACTGTAGTGTAATTTTCATTTTCTGGGATAAACTAAACTTCAAGTCCAAAGACAAAAGGACACCGTGTAAGAAGACGATGGGATCTGATAAGAGGAATATAATGAAATTTCCACAGGTATTTTTTAGTCACCGTGTTTTACCGTTACATTTTTCTCGGTTCATTATTCAAATAGGGCCGTTTTTTGGAAACCCCATCACATAGTCTTGTTTACAGTGCAGCTATTTCTCTCTCTGAACATTGTGTCCCACAGAGCTTTACCTTATTTTGGAGAATTGCAGTCCCTGAAGGTGACTTAGCAGCAAAAATGAGATTATGTTCTATTGCCAGGGGTAAGGAATTGGAGTCTCCTGGAGGTATCTAATTTATCATGAGATGACGGCATTTTCCCCCACCACCATAAGGCCTACAGTGTACAAATTATATCAGACAAAGTTTAACGGCTCCCCTTCAGTGTATGAAATAAATATTAGCATGCATTCAACCGCAAGTACCCGGGACCTTTCGACAGAGGGTTGGCAATGATAAATCCCAAACAACCTTTGACCATATGACTACGTTCATAACGTATGCAAAGAGGAATTTAAATTAAGATGGCTTCTTGGAAAGTAATGGAAGAAAAACATTAATCTGTCTTGCAGCAATTCATTATTTTAGCGCCGATTGCAGTGATGAAATAAAGGACGAGTGGTCCACATACTGTTTTGAATGGAGGAAAGGCAAGAAAATAAAAGATTAGCAATGTTTGAGCTTTGTATAAAACGTTTTTTGAATTTAAAGTACTAACAACACATTTACTGGCTCCAGAATAAAAAAAACAACCTGACAAAACTAAATCCAACGTGTTTTACATGTTTGCTTGGCTGTGAAAATATCCCTCAAAGAATATGCGGTGGTAATGCTGTACGCTTCATAAAGGTTTTGTATCATCGTATCTTGAATGTGATGGAAAAAAACAGGCTTGCATACTGTCCAGAGGGTGGGTGGTAGGAGGAATACATCAGCACGGTAATGTGGAAATGTAAGACAAGCATGACTCTTCCTCACTTTAAACAGATTTCCACAGGAAAGCTTTTTGTGTGTGTGTGTGTGAGTAGGAGGTTTTATTCCGCAATGTTTTCAAGAACATTGAGATGAATTAAATCAAGTATATTAAGCATTGCAACATTTGTTTTTTAAAATGCAACCAATATAAATAACGAAACAAACGAGTGGCAAAATGCCCTGTCTGCTCCGTAACAACTTAATTAACAGTCCCTGCATGTGAGATGTGCCTACTGCTCTCCTAAATATTCGATTCTAACCACCTAAAATACTAACTCTACATAGTGCAGATGTGAAATGTGACTACTTTCCAGTGTTAATCTAATATTGTTTCCCTTTTTCTTGTATCGCAGAGTTATGAGTGTGTGTGTCGTTCTGGCTGGGAGGGGGAGTACTGCCAACAAGAAATTGATGAATGTTTATCACAACCCTGCAAAAACAACGCCACCTGCACAGACCTTCTCAACAGCTACAAGTAGGTGTGCGAGCTGGCTCGAGGGCAGCGTCCTCGCGAGGTGCATCAGTCACTTAAGAAATGCGGGGAAAAAAGAAGCCGTTCAGAGATAGCAATATGTCCTTCCACTGGCACCGGAGATAATGAATTGCAGATGGCAGGTAAAACAAATGAGTCAATCAATGGCTCACAGCATGAAAAGGTTTCAGGGGATCTGTGACTCATTGGAGGAAAAAGCTGGTGTATCTGCTTCGGCTAATGCCCGCTCTCACTGGGGAGACATAAAAATGCTTCAGGTAGAAAAGTTGGGGGATGGAAAGAAATGCAAGGTGGAGTGGTTGTAGTGCCCGGGTACTCACTGCCACCAAGTGGAGTATTCACCTGCCTTAAGAGCAGATACTTGAGATTTACATACACTGTGGTTGGCTCTCGGTTTCTCTGTCTCCATCTGTCTCTCTTTCTGTCTAGAACGCATACATTTCCATTAAATTCCCACTCAGCACTCTAACCTCTTGTGTCCTGCATTCAGCTGTCCAGAATTAAAAGCTGCCAGTAGTGCAGTTAAACACTAAAATTCGGACTTTCTCTAACAGAGATCCAGGAGATCAGTGTGGAGAACGCGTGCACTGTAACACTGAGGTTTTGTGTAGAAGAGTGTGTTTTGTGGGTAATTTAAATTATCATTAAAAAAAAAAAAGCAAGCTATTCAGGAGTTTGTCTGCAGCAACTCCCAGAACATCTGCTGAATGCATTTTTAGCATAATTGTCCCAAAGAGTATGACTGCCATAGCCTTTAGAACATTTTAAAAAGTGTTTATTCATTTATGATTCATTTAGATTTATGGCAAAATAGCCTCTACTGTGTAACATCTCTTCTCTGGTGTATGTAAGGTGTTTGTGCTCACGAGGCTGGACAGGTGTGGACTGTACAGAGGATGTGAATGAGTGCGATTCTGGCCCTTGTCTAAATGGAGCTCGGTGTCAGGAGTCAGACATACCTGGGGAGTTCTCCTGCACCTGTCCCCCCTTCTTCAGTGGCCCCTTGTGCAACCAGCCTTATGACCCGTGTGACCCCCTCCACAATCCCTGCCTACACAACTCCACCTGCCTGACACGCTCCAATGGAACAGCTTCCTGCAGATGCCCAGCTGGTGAGTGAACTCGGCGCCGCAGCCTCGTACTCGTGGTGTTTTTATTTTCGACTTATTTCCCAGCATAATCGTAGAATTTTGTTCAACAGAATTGTTTAAAACTTGAGGGATTTAAAAATTACAAACAGCATAATTTCATTGGAATAGAAAGAAAGTAGCACTATCCATTTGAAAATCGTCGTTTTATCCTCCCTCTGAAATGTGCTTTTCCTCAAAGTTGCTGTAAAAGAAAGGTTTAATGTCTTTGTGTGCATGAATAAAATGGTAAAATGTGCTCCTGATACCTAAAAAATGTGCCATAAAGAAAACATACACAGGTGATTTAAAATAAGAGACATACTTTTTGCCGTAATATGGAGAAGAATATAAGTGAAATATGGCGGGTTTTCGCTATTATATGGGTTAAAAGGAGTGTTAGACATAATGAAAGTTAGTCAGAGGTACAATTTGCATTTCTAGAGTTTTTCATGCTCCACTTTAATTTTTGTATAAGAAATGGTCAACAAACCCAGACATTGGTGTCTTTTGCTTGCTTTTCTCCTCATTGCATTAATACTAAATTAAACTGAATACTTATTTAGCAGTAAATCTGTGTATCAGTGCCAGCTGAGTCATCATAATGCATACTATATTCTAAGGTAAAGACCCTACAGACACATGGGGAATCAGCAGGTACTACCACTCTTTAATATGATTATTATTTATAAAAACATTACTGTATACAAGACACATAATCTTTTAGCAAGACCCAGTTAGTCTAATGCAAGTTCATGAGCACCTAAAAAAAATTTGGACATTTTAATGAAATCAGTGAACCACTTTGGTCTGTTTTATATGCATAATACATATTCTACATCACAATCTTTTATTCTTTTTTGTTTGTTTGTTTTGAACTCTAATCAATACACAATCACAAATTGGGAAATTGTCAGGGATAAATTACATCTTTTGTGCAATTTAAGAGTATATCTGTAAAGTTATTTAATCATTATTCACTGTCATCGTCATTATGTTTCTGGACTTTCTACCATTGCCTATGATTGGGCGATAAATTGGTGCATCCCTACTAATTGTAGCAGCAGGAACAGTAGATGCTTGGCTAAAGACAGATGCTAATTCTGAACGTCTTGAATTCACGCATGCATCCAAATGTCTTAGAAATTACTCGTTACTGATAATGCAAAATTAGATGTTTTTTCTTCAACGTGTACATATTCTCAATATTCCCATTTACAAGCAAATTGCAAACTAACGCCCGTTCAAATTTGCAGCTAACAGACACAGGATGAAAGAACTGTGGGTGACTGAGGAGTCAGACTGTAAATTATATTAAAAGAAAATAAAGCATTGACCTCATTTAGTACTGGCTCCTTCTCGCTCATTCACATGCCCTCGCAGGCATAAATAACTCGGGCATGCACATCCACTCAGATGTAAATGAAACGCAGGAAAATCTGTTTTATTTTCAGTTCATGAGACCAGTCAGGTTTTTGTTTCACAAGCAACATATTGGAATAGAGCACTGGCAATGATCGCTTTCTTCGTTAAAATGATCTATTACGATGTTTATCAGTAAAATCTTGTTAGCTTGTAAATTGTAAATGAAATATCATTTTAACATAGGCTTTCACTGTGGAGGTTAAGACGGTATAGGGTTATGTTGTACCTAATGGCTCCATCAGCAAAGAGATGAAAAGATGTTGCCAGATATAAATAGGGCGGCTGGGTTAGTTTCAGAAAGCTTCCTTTGAGACGAATAGGAAATTAGGCGCTGCATACATTACACCAAGAGCTTTGCGTGGGTTTGGTCGTTTTCACTTCACACAACCGTGACTCACCTACTCTCCATTATTATTCACCTTAAATCCATCCTCCATAGCTACTACTCAATAAACATAAAGGAGCCCATGGCTTGATCCCAGTGCAGCCGTCTTAAAAACTTGTTATTTAGTATTCACTGTAGGTTATTTGTCAAGGAAATTGTGTAGGTCTAACACTATTCTTCAGACTAATTGAAAATAAAATTTGTCTGCATATGCATCTAAGATTTAGTACATTAAGCACATCCCAGTGCATAGACAAAAGCTTTTACACAATACAGCAAATACTGTCAAGGTAACTGAATTAAGGAGAATGATTTTTATGCTTTTAAATGACTCTAAATGCTTGCAAATACTGTAACTGTGTTCAGTGTAGCATCAGTAAGTGTTTATAAGAAGAAAATTGAGTTAAAAATTAAAATTTAGAGCCTCTTATTTGCTTTTAGATACCGAGTCTTAAATATGTAAATAGAAACATGGCAGCTTCATTCAGTGGTTTTTGCAAAGATCAAGCGAGACCAATGATCCACATTCAAGTAAAGAGAGCATGTGCTCTTATATAAAGGCATGGTTAGCTGTTAAGGAAGTTGCACCATGGTAAAACAAGCCTCAGGATAAACATGAAGGCTTGTGTTGTTAATAAGGTTAGTTACTGAGATACAGTTAACTAAGATTAAATACATATTTTTAATTAATTCTAACTTTGTATTAGCAAACACATGCAGGTGAATATAAGAATCTTTGCTAAAAACAACAATCAGATAAACAGTTTATGTAGTCTTGTGTTAAAAAATTGAAATGCAATGTAGGGAAACTTAATAATATCTTAAATACCATCTCCTGCATGGTGAAAAGAATACAAACATGCAAAAAAAAAGCACTTTGCTGCTACATCCATTCTGTTAATCTTGTTTACTTTAACCTTCTTTGCTCATATCTGGTTTTGTTCTGTAATAAACTGCTGCGTCTAACACAACAAAAGTCGCTAATTTCAGCTGTTAGGTTGTAATGCATAATCCATGGTTGGAATAACAGGTGTTCTATTCTTTCCATTTCACCAGAATTGCATGAGTGCAACTGAAGAAGCACTGGTATTCATTGTGATGATGCCTTTGAGGCACTGCTAATGCTGCGATAATAGATGGCGGCTGTCAAACCTTTCATAGCCAGCCCTGTGACAGTATCTGATGGCTGCTGACAGGGGTCTTTTATAAAAGCTAAGTGCTTTAACTTTAGTGGTCATTATACCAAACTTGCTTTACTGAAGAGATTACAAAGTTGGCTGTGTGGTCTTAGCTTTCTCAAGAAACTTCACTAGACTCTACGCATCTAACAAAAAGGTTGATATGGCAAGTTTAGTGTTCATCAGCTTAGCAGGATCTAAAAGGCAGCAATTAGGCGGTTTCTACTGGGAGCGGCATTAAAGGGATTTGTAAAACACAGCCACAATGGAAATGAGTTCTGTCTACAAAGGTGTACTGTGAGAAGCTGGGGGCCAAAATAAAACCAGAGCAAGCTGAAAGTCTCGTCTTAAAAAAACACAGGTGAAGCAGTTATCCTCTTTTGATTGTAGAGGGCTCCTGTAGGAAGTTTTTGTTCTTACTAGCAGAGACACTCCGCTGAGGCTCTGGCCAGGAGGCCTAAGTCATCTTGCCTGACCAGCACAGATGTTCCACTTTCCTCTTAATGAGGAGCCTCAGCAGGGAGTGCCAAACCTGATAGAAGAGCAACCTGAAAATGGGAGAGTTAGGGTAGAAGGTTGAGGTGAGGGTTACTGGCCGACAACTGCAACAAATGAAACAAACAACACATGGCATCACTCAGCCAAGACTGCGGTACAAGGTAGAGTCGCATCAGAGTCTCGCACACAATCTATAGTCTGTGCTGTCCTTGCTCGGTTTGCTGAATTCCTTGAGCAAAGACAAGTTCACATGTGTAAACTTTAATCTTATCTTGGACCTTTCCTGCACATTCTCTGCCTCTGCCGTTTAGTCAGGGCTCCATCCACTTAAACTATCTGAAGAGCGGAAAGGCTATATTTATGCTTTTTTTCCCCTTTGAATTTAATTAATAGAAACTACAGCTTAATTAATAAAACTTCAGCTTTAGTCATTTTTCTTTGAGATTTGTGTCAGTGGAGTTTAATTTTGAGTTACCTTTTTTTTTTCTTTTTTTTTTTAATCACTGAGATTGTAAATAATTCTCACATAGTTACTTTATGTAGTTCTCATGGATTTTGTAAAACTGATTATAGGATTCCTTCGAGACTTCAAGACAAAACATGTCAAAACATTCTAACCTTTTGATAATTACATCAGAATTACTGATTATTATTCTGGATGTGAAATATTTATAATTGTCAATTATTTAAAATGATAATATTCTATGGATTAGATTAATAGATTGTAATTCTAGTTTCATTCGTAGGTTCTTTAGGATGGCATTTTCAATGGATATCACACTATGCCACTGCAGCACTTAACGCTTTAGACTTGTTAGTTAAAGTGCCTATATTCATTATGAGCTTTTTATTGGTTTTTGGGTGACAAGTTGGCATTTTTAAGTGTTAAACGTGAGCTGTGTGATATGAGGACAATCACTTTGCCTCTAGTCCATTATATGAAGTGGAGACTTTTTCTTTTTCTTTTTTAATTTTTGCAGTACAGGGAATTAATTCAAAAGCATTGTGTGGTCTCTTCACATGGAAAAACCATTTGGTCTCCATGGTTCAGAATATACCCAGAGGTGTTCCTGGCCAGATGGAGAACAAACCCCTTTATTTGCATGGCATGCTACACTAGCCTTCACCTTCCACAAGATTGAGATTGTGTCCTACCAAACAGTTGGTTAATGAGCTACTGTGGAGCTATGCCAACAAGAGAACTGACACATAGCTAATATGATACTGAAAAAGATGTGTGGAAAAGATGTGTTGCCAAAATGTGTTGGAAAAAGTCTGGCCTCAGTAGATTCATTTTAGGTGATTATTCTTTTTTATAGAG